CCCCCTCAGATAACTGCTTCAACACATGATATTTATTAGACTGTACTGAAAACTGTTACTTAACTTCTTTATCCTACATTATACTGGTTTTCATGGTTGTAAGATGCTATATATCTTTGATATGGTAAAACTATTTCAGTTTCTGAAAGAGTCCTTGGTATTTTATGTTAATATAACAAAACTAGTAAATCATCTAGAATGAAATACGCATCTTTCAGCATACTGACAATAAAGAACACTGAATCAAATACCAGCTGACACTAGATTTAAACAGAATTAGAAAATGGTAATAATATAAATATTACACAATTGTCGTTTGGTTTCAATTTAAAAGTTGAGTAAGTCATCCACACACTATATATAGACAGATAATATGTTATCATGATCAATGTCACTGTACACTCCCAAATGTATGTGCCGTGTTGTTATCCAGGTGCCATGACCAGCGTGCTAGCTAAATTGGTTAAACCAGCTGCGTGGCGACACAGTGACAAACTCTATGCGGTCAGAGATCACACTAGCTGGTAGGTAGAAAAACCGTATATCTCCCAAATTTACAGTATCTCCCTGTGGAATCAAGGCCGAAGGGTTGCGATATCCACAGTAATGAGCAAAAGGGTTTACAACTCATGGTTTCTGGACCAGTTTGAAAAAAAAATTTTTTACACCATCACAAAGTACCTGTAAGTAAAGGACCCTTTTCTACACCTTCAGGTGCACTGGACTAGATCTATTTTTTAGACCAGTGGGCACAGTGGCAACAAAACGCATGAGGTTAACTATAGCATATACATAAGTGAAGGAGTCATAATTTATAGTTTATAGACCAATCAGCACCCAGTGGATGATCTGGTCAACATAGCCTCTATTTTACCTTGTTATCAATTTTAGTCAGGTTGGACCTGGGAGTCAGGTCCACTTAAACAATCTGACATGATGCGGACTGGAACTCAAGACCTTTAAGCCGACATATAGAGGCATTCAGCACCTATGCTATTTTGGCTCCTTACCATATATATACATAGTGTAGTGTAACTAACCTAGGTAGTCCAGTACATCCCTTTCAGAAAAAAAAACACATTTGCTCAGTATGTAACCTATGGAATAGGTTTTGCGTGCTAGACTTTTAATGAAAGTTAAACCCAGGTCCAAGTGGGGAAGAGATTAAAAAAACACACACACTGGAGCTTTATTAGAAGGTGGCTATCCTACCAAACAATGACATCTCCACCCCCTCAGCACTATCCTAGTAGGCATGTGACATCTCCAGCCCCTCAGCACTATCCTAGTAGGCATGTGACATCTCCACCTCCTCAGCACTATCCTAGTAGGCACGTGACTCATCTCAGCAAGGTGAAATGAGATTATATTTCCCTTTATTTCATCAAATCATGTTTGTATTTGCATATTTTAGCATTAGGAAGTGTTTACATTATTTCATGCAGCCCCATCAATGTATAATATGCCAAAAGGTTTGTCTTCTCTATTGGGAATGGATTAATCATTCTCCATACATTTCCAATGGAAAAATGTGTTAGGCATACATCTTGTCTGGTATAAGTCTAAGGATCTGCAACGTATTAGGGATATATACTAAAGTACCACTGTATATGGGGCTACCGATCACACATACAAACATATTCACACATAAAAGTTCAAAGCAAGTTGCTATGACACGTGAAACATGTACTTTGCTAAATCAGGGAGCAAAATATGCAGATTATACAGTCAAAGTATAAGGAATGCAAACTGACAGCTGAAAGATATTGTAGAGCAAAAGAGATATCCACATTGAAGTGTGTGATAAAAATTATAATTATTTTAGATTACTTAGACCAAATCTAGAGATCAGGGCTGACTAAGAATATAGTTTGTACACACTAACATTTAACTTATTAATAACCAAGGGAAAAACATTAAAACATGCTGCGACTGAACAAGTTAAGTTTCAACCACAGGGGTTCTTTTGATTTTGCAAAATATATACGAGTTAATATTTTTTGTAAATTCTTTTTCCCACTGCTTAATTTTCTTTATTAACCCCGGTATTTCATGGTTATTGACGTGTTAAGTTTAAAAATACCCCTTCCACTGAAATGGGAAGTATAAAAGAGAAAAAAGACACACATCCATATGGAAAGAGGTTTTCATAAAGTTTACAACAGTCCGTTTAAAAATAAATTATTGCTATGCAATTCTGTAAATTCTTTCATGCCTTCAAAACAAACTGAACTTTGTAACTAAATATAAATTAGGAATAGAAGGTAAAATGTCAAAAAAGACAAATTTAAGCAACTGTTGGGTGTCTTTAAAAGATACCTTTAAAAAAGTGCACAGAATAGTGTTTTTTAAAAGTTAGAACAAGTTTATTACTAACAATTTTTGGTTGACACTTTGTTGACTGAAACTAAGACAATCCTGCTAGTCAAAAAGACAGGACAGGCAAACCTCTCAAAGGCAAGTTTTAGCCTTGGCTCTGAAGCAATCTAAAGGCAGCTGTCAGATCAGTGACCATCAAATGATACACCTGACTGTGAAACATCAATCCAAGATCCTGAGAAACTGCCACACACAAAAATTAACAAAGCTCATCTACCAACAATAAATAATAATAATAATAACAGAACAGCTTTCAATCAATGAAGTCAACCAGGTCAATATTGGTGGTACTTGCACTCTTGAAACATGCCAGATTTGGAAAATGTGTGAACATCCCAAGGATGTGAAATGTGTGAACATCTCAAGGATGTGAAATGTGTGAACTTCTCAAGGATGTAAAAACTGTTGCCCAAAAAGTATAAAGTGTGCTGGCCTAGGGCATGGTTTTCACGAGCCTCCTACGTCCTGCTAGATCTGGAACAGAAACAAGTAATTTTTTTTTATGTATTATTTATAAACAAGTTCAAGTTTATAAATCAGGCATGGTTTGTATGTGCGCTATAATGGTAATGCAAGCTAACCAGCACAGTATTTCACGATGAATACATCAGCACAATGATGTAAGCATCAGCACTCCATGTAAGCTAACCATTACAGAAAGCAGGGACAAAATGATGGAAACATACACATAGTGTAAGCCGACCATTACAGTATTTCATTTAGGGATACCATGAAGAAAAAAAGAACAGTAAACCGACCATTATAATTATAGTATTTCATGTAGGGACACCATGATGGAAACATAAATAGTCTAAGCCTACCACTGTAGTATTTCATGTAGGAAATACAAACACAATCTAAGCCAATGATTATATTTTTTTATAGTGAAATTAAAGTAAACAAACACTCAGTGTGTAAATGAACCATTTGAATATTTCATGTAGGAACACCATGAAAGAAACGTTAGCATTTAGTATGCAGTGAAAATTACTGATATCCCTTTTCGTGACTTGACCCCAAAACCCTGCTATTTCTTAGTATTGTACCTGGACTACTGTCTTAGCAAATTAAAGTACTAACCATTCTGTCGCTGGGGCAATTCCTTGTTTTGTTAAAACCCACAAGTGGATCTGTATTTTAGAGTCGGAGCCAAATTCCTGAACTTTAGGTCAGACCAAACTATGTCAGGTTTATGTTTTACTTGGGGCAAAGTGCTGCACTTTGAGCCACTTCATACTGTCAGGTCTTCTTTTTTAAACTTGGGACAAAGTGCATCATTTTAAGCCACTCTGTATAGTGTCAGCCTAGTGAATCACTTTAAACTATTCCGAATGGTGTCAAGTCTTATTTTGAAGCTTGTGGTAAAGTGCATCACTTTAGGTCAATTTAGCTTGGGGTTCATTAGATGTGGTCAACACACCGTCTCCCACACAAAACTAAGAGGCTTATATTATTAACTCTTTTTCTGTGAACGACTGTTTCTTAAATGTGCTGCTGTCAGTAAGTCTCAGGCGCCTGTATGCAAGGAAGAAGTAATGCAGGGATAGCGACGAAGGGCGGGAGGGCCTGCGAGTATAGAATCACTGCAGTTTTGGTATTTTGTAAGCTCGCTGGCTGTGGCTATGTTTACAGCGGTTAAAACAAGGATCACATGACACTCCTAGACTAAAGGGGCGTCCGGGAAATCTCCTATGAAATCACATGGCCAATGAGATAGGGTGACTTTCGTATCGATCTGCAGCGCTTCCCAAAAATAAAGACACATACAAAAGGACATGGTTGTAAACTATAGTAAAATGTCAGCTGCATATGAGTACATCTGTATTTAAATTGAATTTGTTCATTAACTTGCTTCAGCTTATTTCAATTCTTCATATGTACTTACTGACAAACAGCAGTATTTGCCAGAGAATAAATTGTGCAATATGTTGTAAGTGACTTCTTTTAATAAAGCCTCTTGTATCCTTAACATACACTGAGTGAAAATAATTATCTGGTGCTTCTATTCAAACTGATGTAACAACATAAGGAAAACTGCACAACATCAGGCCAACCAAACAGTGTCTTACCTCGTCGATGTCGTCATCATCGTCGTCATCATCAAAGCCATCGAAAGTGATGTTCTCATCAACATCTTCTTCAAAGTTATTTTCATTGATTTTGGCTGAGGAAATTTAAAATATACAATATAAAAAATTTAGCATTTCAAAAATACCACATTTTGCTGACATTTCCAGGGTTACATTTCACACAAATCTCCCATGTAGCAGACATTACCTATCATAATTCCCCACTATACTGAAATGTAATATCTTAATTTAGTCAATCTTGCTTATATAATATACTACTGCTCTCATACCAGTTCTGTCATCATTTCTTCGGTTAAATGTTTTCTCCCAATGACCGAATGACCAAATCTTCACTTTTCTACACTTAACTCTTTGAGTCCCAAGGAACGCATCATACGTTCATAGATTCCTACTTAGAGGCCCAATGAACGCATGTTGCGCCGATTTTACGTCTCTCATGACTACCCCTTGGGCCTGAGATGCTAAACCATCTAGGACTCAAAGAGTTAAAATGACAATGTTGACTGAGTAACGTGTAAAGTAAATCCTTACCTGAATCTGGCAACTCCCCGTAAGCCTTCAAGTTACGAGCTTCATCAGCTGTGTACTTCAGGATGACATCAGCTTTTGTGTCCTGGTAGTCCCTCAGCCCTAGCAAGATGATGTCTCCACCGTTGATCCACACCTGGAAAAAAATCAAAAAATGACTGGTTTTCTAAGACTATTCATTAAACAAAAATATTAAAACCAAGCATATGGTTAGAAACCTTTGGAGCACCATTATGAATGGTGGCTACACATAAAAAAAAAAGATATGCAAATGACACATGATCATGGTGACCATTTTGAATTTATTTGGTTACTAGCTGTACCCGGCCACGCGTTGCTGTGGCCCAGAATGGTAAACTGGAAAAGAAAGAAAATAGAAAGCGCAACTGTTTAATATGGTTAATATCAGTCAATGCACAGCTACAGAGATAGTCTGATATGCTAACTCTAGAACACGCAACATATCAGTGAATGTCGATATTAGTGGTCGAATAAAGTGCACTGTTAAAGAGAGAGTGAGAGAGAGAAAAAAAAAAAAGATTATCTGTTTATTGAGGCTAAAGCATCTGATGTGCCTAAACAGATAAAGTAAAGCTGACTGCTATACCTCTAACTGAAAATGAAAGTAGTTGAGGAAGAGGTATTAAAATATAAATATGTAAGAAAATGATAACTGTAAAATAAAGTTATAAGCTTTCTGAGCTAACAGTGTCTGTCATACCCCCCCCCCCCCCCCCCCCATCCCCATCATGTGCACGACATTGTGAAAATACAAATAGTTACGACATAAGAACTTTAAAAAAATATATTAAGCTCTCCCCTGTGTGGGTTCCGGGGCCCCATTGTGGGGAAAACAAGAATAGACCCACTGCCTCCCCAAAAGCATGTTGTAAGAGTCAACTAATTGGGGAGCTTCCTTTGAAGACGGAGTGCGTCTGCCGGAGAGGCAAGGAACCAACAGTCTGTATTCAAGAGAATGAGATCTGTAAAACTGATGCACACGCAACACTCAGGTTCTGGAGCAGGACTGCAGTTCAGTAGTAGACGAGCAACCAGAACCTTCCGCCAGAGTTTACAGCTGGTGAACGCGAAGAAGAAGAAGAAGATATTAAGCTCTCTCAGTTAACAGCGGCATCAAACCCCCCCCCCCCCCCTGTGACAATCATATCATCTATCCTCTACAAAGTATGGGGAAGTCAGTGCCTGGCGAAATATTGTTGTTAAATTGAGCTTGGCATCCATGTCCACCCAGACAAAAATGGGTAGCATTAATCTGTATTGAGTAAATGTGGCCAGTGTAACAGCTACCACGTCACCCATCGAGTACCAGTACTACTGCTACCACTACCACCACCACCATCACAACAACATAAAACGGTCACAACTGTCTGTACAGGTCATTGTAGCCAGAGGAGTTGGCACCGCATGCTGTTGCCACGGGCTGTTTAGTTCAAGTGTGCCCCCGACATAAAACTCCATCACCTAACCAGTGGTGAAACCCACAGTAATATTCCGTGATTTAAGAAAAGTACACTATACTCACGAATAGCGGAAATAAAAACCCGAACTCGTCATATATCCCTCTCCGAAGGGACATTGTTAAAATAACTTTGGCATCCATGTCGACCCAAACCAAACTGGACCGTAAGTCTTCTTAGTTAATAGTTTCTGTCCTCAACGAATAGTTTTTAATCGAGTAAAGCGTCGGGGGGAGGCTAATTGGGACTGTAATGAAATTGGATGTCTTTGGGCGTAAGGCGCAGATGTCACAACCTAGCTGTAAACCACAACACAACGTGCCAATTGCCTCTTAGGGAAAAAAAGAAAAATTCAGGACCCAGCGGGGAATCAAACACCGGTCATTCGCGAGAAGGGTGGAATTCTACAATTTCTACCACCGAAGACTGAAGACTTTAGGTCAGATATCACAGCCTAGCTGTAAACCACAACACAACATGCCAACCGCCCTCTCAAGGGCGAACGAATATTACCCGTGACATGAACATTGAACATCACATCGCCACTATCGCAGGCTAGCTGAAAACCCCAAAATCTAACGAAAAAAGGTAGATATTGCAGCCTAGCTATGAACCACAACAAAACGTGGTAGCCACCCAGTTAGGGGCCCAAAAAAATAAAAAATATTTCATTACCCAGCGGGGAATCGAACCCCCTATCACCCGAGTAAAAAGCGAAATGCTTACAACTAACTACGCTACTAAACACTCAAGCATTTTGTAGAACATAATAATAATGTGAAGTTCGGTGTCACACAGTCAAAGGTGGCGATTCGATTGAAAACAAATCCGGGCGGGCAACAAAACAAATAATGATTTGACAGTTGCTGGAGCTACGTCATTTATGGTTTGTGCGATTTTTTGACAAAAAAATAACGCTTGGAGTCAAAGGCAACGCTGTGTGAAAAATTGAAAGCAATCGGTTCAGTAGTTTCCGGGTTTTTAGCTTACATCACTGGAAAATTAAGATTTTTTTATTAATATAGATTTATAGAAATTTCAGAATTGTTTTTAAACCCATTAGCTTTTTATAGTTTTTAGTGGATCTGTTTAATGTCAGTGCAATAAAATGTTAGGGACACGACTGGCGATGAATAAAATAGGCTAAACAGGAACAATTATTCATGACTGATCAAATATTTCAACAGTAAAAAATATTTTAAAAATGTGATTCCGAATCATCAATACTACGGGTCTGGTTTTTGCCATCAGACATGCTTAAGGGCTGAATTTGTGATTATAGGGAAAATTAAAATGATCGCCGGAATGGTGTGTGAGTGTGATTTATAATCTTCTTATTAGACAGATGACAGGAGAATGAGAAAGAAAAACATAGTGCTCTTCAAATATAAATAATAGTACCTTCTTGCGCAATTTGCCTCGAATGTGACACAATCTCTTGACACCATCAAAACACATGGCTTCCAGACGTCCATTTCCCAACATTTTTGTCACCTGTCCATATTCCTGTCCCTCTTCTTTGAAGATCAACTCACGTTTCTCATTTTCATTCTCATTTTTACCTCTCCTTCGATTTTTACCTCCCTTTCCTGTGAAATAAATCAGAAACAAATAAAACAATTATAAACTTATAAAGTACTTATCCCTGATTTCTACCTCGTGACACATGATCTCACTTTACATATTTTCACCATAACATAATGTAAGAGAAAAAGGCAGTGAGAAAATTGTAAAGTAATTTTACAATACGAGTCACTGTATAAGGTGGTGACATGACTTCAGAAAAACATTCTTCAAAAATGCTAATGTTAACACCGAATGAAAGGAGTTCAGAAGAAGATTTAGCCTGAGCTTTCCTTTCATAGTGGCTTCAATCGTGAAAACAAGCTTTTAAATTCAAGACATTGTTGACAAGGCAAGATCTGCTGGATTTGAGGATTTAGACCAGGCCAGTGTGGACAAATATCTAATCTCATTTATCAAAACTCACAAATAAAGATCTTGAAATGGAAAATGACAAGACAAATTATAAATAGGGAGAACTTAGTGTCAAACCCACCCAACCCTTTCTACAACACAACTGACGGTATTCTCTCAGTACATCAGACAATGCAGTGTAGTGATGACTGTGGAGGATGATCCAAACACTTACAGAAGTGCCAAAGTTCCCAGGGAGATTCATAAGTCTTTGGTCTACTATAAATTGTACAGAGAGAGTAAGACTGCTCCCCATCAGACGGGTGTAGATTATTTAAGGAATTGTACAGAGAGAGTAAGACTGCTCCCCATCAGACGGGTGTAGATTAAAAAAAAAAAAAAAAGACGAAGATTACCAGCCTTCCACATCAGGTTTTTCAAGAAATCAAGAAAGTGATCCTGACGCACTGAAACCAGTTCTTATATCTTGTAAAGTAACACCGCCAGCTTTTAACATAAATACAGCACATTTGTGTGTTATTTTACAGTTAATAATATTTCATTTGTAAGGGCACCATGTTCATTGGCCATCTATATGTCATTCCTTTTAGTGGCTATTGTAGGGGCCCCTGCACGCTGCTTTATTTGGATGCCCATATTATTATTAACAGAAAGAAAAAAAAATTGCTATTAAAAATAGATTGATTAAAAAGAAAAAATGCCCTGCCTAATAATTCTAAATTGATTAATAGTTTACCTATATAAGATGTCAATCAGGGTCCAGACCAGAAATGATTGATCTCAAGATCTGCCAAACACTAACACTAACAGAAGTCTAATTATATCCCGAGTAAAATACACACACAAATTTACTAAATAAAATTGAGTTAGAGCATAAGTCATCAGCACTTTCACCTATGCCTATGACTGTCCTAAAAAATCAGGGAGTCCGAGGCAAGGCATCACGCACTAACTGGTTACAACCGAGCGGCCCAATCGACATAGACAAGTGAAGGTTTTCAATTTACTACTGACTGGTAATAAAACGCAGACCGCTCAATTTCAGCTTCCTTCTGAGTTCTTTGTGTCTGATAACGATTAGCGTTGCTGTTGTCCCTACACTTTTCGGCATGCGCAAAACGCGGTTAAACTCACCGCCGACAGTATCCCAGTGCTGCTACAAGCAGATGGGGATCAAAACTAGATGCCTGGGACTCACGAGCAAATAAATTAGAGGAAGTTGCGGGTGATGCTGTAGCTGCTGCTCATGAGTCCCAGCGATCTAGTTTAGCCCCCCCACCCCATCCATGCCACGCGGAGATACTGTCAGTGGTCTGGCATAGTCAATGAATTAACATATCGCTGAGACCCAGTTTGAGTTAGAGCATTTATTTAGTTATTCGGAGCCGATCCTAGTTTTTGCCGCGATTTGTTCTTTGGCAGAAAGTCGTCCGCATTTTACACACGACTGAGGCAGTGTTAGGATATTTGCTTGGCTGCCATAATATCAGGTTGAAGTTCGGAGGAGAGCCATGCCATTACTATATAAAATATGCATAGCCATAAGTGTATGTTGCCATTGAATTATAGTCTGTTTTAATGTGTCACACTTGTGAAAAAAAATTGCATTGCCACCCCTGGGCCTCTGATGCTAAACACCCTGGGACTCAAAGAGTTAACATCCCTCATGTGAACTCATAAGAAAAATACGTCAACGTCAAGAACGAAATATCAATCATTGGGTTAACTGTTCACTGTTCACACTCTAAGGAAGTTCATTAAATTATTATTTAACACAACGGAAACTACAAATTTCTTTAAACAGTTACAAGCTTTTAAGAAACATTATTACAGTAGTCTAGATATGGTTAGTACGTGGTCTTCAAAAGCAAAGCATACATTTTTTTTGGGACGCACTAACACTGCAGAGTTCTCTCTCCTCAGACATCACTTGATTGACGGCCCTCGCGACTACAGAAAAATGTAAATAATTTACTAAATTGTCATCACAGACATAACGAACAAAGATGATCAATACTTTCACGTACCTTTGTTTTTAGGCATTGTGTCTGTTATACAATCACGCTAGGGCAACCACAATGTAGAAATATGAATATTTCGTGAACAAATCAGACTCTTGTCACAGATTTGATAGCATGTGCAATTCCAAGACCAATGTTGCACCGGAAGTCTCCAATGTTTCCCATAGTTCCTATTATTGGCCCTTTTACACAAAACACAGATCTGACAGAAAATAACCGCAGATTTTCGAAATGGATGTGGAAATCTTTTTATTATATACTTAATGAGAATGAACGATGAAGAAAGAGTTTGAGTTGAAGCGAGGTTATGATTTACGAGACACATTCTTATAATGTCTCTCAATATAACTATCAACGATTGTTTAAGAAAGAGTTAGTGATGAAAGAGAGAGGTAGAAGAGATTGAAGCCGGCCGAAAGAACTGATGTGTGGTAATAAACTAGCAAACTATGGTCTAAAAACGATCGACGCCGGCTTGCTGCAAAACTAATCTCGGGGCAGGAAGAAATGACTTGATTTTGTTTTCTTTTCTTCTGCTTTTAATATTTTGGTAGAAAACCACGACCCGACTAGCCCTAGAAAACCCTTCACGATTCCATTTAGGGACGCGACACATGGGTTTGGATCTCGTATTTTATAGAAAAGACGCTGGTACTTAAAATGACGCACATGGAAAGAACCCGATAACAGTATGTCCAAAATTCCCCTGTAGACCAGTGGGGGAAATGGGGAGAGGTTGCGTGGAGGGGCGGAACGAGAGAGGTAGAGAATAATGTGAAAGAATGGAGATAGTATAGGGTGAGCTAAACAATAACACCTGCCCTGGCGATACGAAAGTAAAACTTCTAGATCGAACCTGCAACCTTAGGCAAACGAGGCAAACGGCTCGACCACTTCGCCACGGAGACCTTCAAAACGCAGTTTGGAAACACCAGCTACATGCAAGTGAAATAAATTAGAGCACCCATTTCCACGTCTTCGGGCATATAGGGCTAGCCCTATATTTTATAGACCAATCATCGCTCTGCGGGTGATGTGGTCACCATCACGCTGGCTGGTTTTACTTCCAAATATTTTACCTGTTACATATTCAAGGTTGGTTTTACTTCCAAATACTTTACCTTGTACACATTCAAGGTTGGTTTTACTTCCAAATACTTTACCTTGTACACATTCAAGGCTGGTTTTACTTCCAAATACTTTACCTGGTATACATTCAAGGCTGGTTTTACTTCCAAATACTTTACCTTGTACACATTCAAGGCTGGTTTTACTTCCAAATATTTTACCTGGTACACATTCAAGGCTGGTTTTACTTCCAAATACTTTACCTTGTACACATTCAAGGCTGGTTTTACTTCCAAATACTTTACCTGGTACACACTCAAGGCTGGTTTTACTTCCAAATACTTTAGCTGGTACACATTCAAGGCTAGGTCGACCTGGGAGGGAGATAAACATTCCGTCTCTGTCAGGATCTGAACCATGACATTCGCTTTCGCAAGTGAGAGTCTAATCGCTATATTTCGGTGGCTCTCAGGTAAAGGTAAGGTTTATACATAGTACATTTTTTTTTCAAGTATCCAGAAACCATAAGTTGTTAACCCTTTGGCTCGGTACTATGGATATCGCAACCCTTCGGCCTTGATTCCATTATAGATACCGTAAATCAGGTTGAAATGTGGCTTTTCTGCCTACCCCCGGGCGTGAGCTCGGGCCACAAGGAGTTCGTAACCCGGTCACCGCACAGTCCGGTTTAGCCAACTGCGCTATAGAGCCGGGCATACATAGTGAATAATTGCAATAAACAAGTGACAGCTGGTTAGCTGAAAGGGGAATTGAGAAGGCAGACGAATCGATTTAACGCTTCTGGGCGTGTCTAAGGATTTATCAAGCTGTTAGTTTCAGGATATTGATTATACAGTGGATAACACGCATAGAAACTATTTGCAGTCAGAGAGATCTCGCATGGCTCGGATAAACTTGTGATTTGTGAAGCTAGTCAAGTTGACTCCGGTGACTGGCAACGAGACACAACTTGTAGCAAAAAGATATTCGTTTTCTGACTCATAACCACTGGGATACAGCCCATCAAAGAACTAAATGAACTGAATTGAGGTGAGCTAAGAACAAAAACACAGCACTCGAGACATCAGCACATGTGCCCCGTCTTCATTTTCAGCAGCAAGCAAACAGTTATAATACTGACGGTGCAAATAGCTGTCTAATTATCAGACAATATGGTTTTCACAGTTTCATCATCACAGCAAACGAGCTGAACATAAGTGAGAACATAAGTTCTTTCTTCCAGTGCCAAGAAAAAACGCACAGAATGTCAATCACTGTCCCTTGTGGAAGGGAGGTGGGCGGGACTTCTTACACAGACTTAAGTTTCAGTAAATCGTATAGAGCACGCTCGCATTTAATGCATAAATTAGCCGTCTGAAGTGCCAGCACCAACAGTCCGACACTAGAAATACAGTTTATCTTCCATGGAGGCAACTGTTACAACATATCAATAGTTACAGACGCAATTAATCGCATAAGGCCAAGCTAGTTTTTGACAACGGGCCGCTTGCCATTCCGAATCTACAATTCACAACATAAACTATGTCGGGCTCAGTCGAAAAAGCACTCCAGGGGAAATCTACAGCTGACAGTGTCGTGCGATGCATTCAACTTAGTGACTGGGCAATGGAACTATATTCTTTCAGTCTGCATAAGAAAAACAAAACTATTGTAAGAAGCAAAAGCTTGCCACGACAAAAAAAAAAAAAAAAAACCAACAACACCGTCTGTCGTGCCTTTCGTCTGTGGCCGATTAAAATGAGAGGGCAAGCCTATGGTGCACGGTCTGGTCAAGATGGTGCGTTGCGTGTGTCTGTTGTTGTTACTGTTATAAAGACGTTAAATTTTATATCTCTTGTTTTTCTGTCTCAGATCGCCAAGTATGAGGTTACAGTTAAAAATGATATATGATCTGAGATAACTAAACCGAAGAGACAAAGGAGCTACTGAAATGGGAAAGGAGACGGAATGCAATAAGGACCATGTTTGGAGAGACGTTGGAGATAATAAGAAGACACCGAAGACAATGTGATCAGTGCAGAAATACAATGCATACAAGTCAAGAAACAGTTACAATTACTTGTTTATTCGCTACCTCGCTTCAAAAAGTAACCCATGCTGCTGGGTACTCTAGTAGGCAAATTTACGACCAGTAAAAGAATTGCTTCCTGGCTGGTACGACGCTCATATTAAAAAAAAAAAAATAAACAACAACACCTGCATAGTTATCAGATTGCGCGTTTTTATTAGTTTGTAAATATTATATCATACTTTGGTATGTGTATGTGAAAAGCAGACTCAAGTGTTGTTTAACGTTTCCAGTGGACATGTCAGTGTGAACTGAGTGGGTTTTGTAATCATTACAACGCAGTGGTCAATTGTGTTTAAGACGATATTTGTGAGCTTAGCTCACGATGCGAGCACGAGAAAGCAACACAATTTGCGGTGAACACTATTTACTACCTACGCAATTTAAACCTTATAAAAGGATAACACTATACTAAAACGATCAGTTCATTTTCAAGCAGTCACGAATGGTGCCGCTATCGATAAATTTAGGGAATATTGCTATTGGCCAATTGCAGGCAGGAGAAAGTCAAAGTCAGGTTGCCAGGCATCTAAACATGCATCAGAGTACCATCAGTCGACTTTGACACTGGTTCCAAGCCACTGATTTAGACCGACATAGCATTGGACCACCCGGAGTGACAACAGACTCCTTTTATTGGCTTCGTCACCTCAAAGACAGGTTCACAACAGCTTCGTCAACAGCACAGGCATTGCCTCCAGGACGTCATGTGTCTGATCAAACTTTTCGTAAAAGACTGCATGATGTTGGACTTTAGGCTCGTCGACCATACCGATGACCTCTCCTTACGCGTCGCCACAGCCAAAATCGACTTCTTTGGGCGAACCAACATCGTCCCTGGGCAAGTGACGATCAGTGGAGACGTGTCTTGTTCAGTGACGAATCTTTCATTTTGCTGCAGCGTCATGATAGACGACGTAGGGTCTACAGCAGGCGAAAAGCAGGTTTAGCCTAAAATTGTGATGATGAAGCACTGCTGCACGGTGGTGGAGGTATAATGGTATGGGGAATAATCCGTTTACAACGGAAGGAGTCAAACCAGTATCCAATTTTATAAGAAAGCGCTGCTGTAACTACCTCGGCCATCCACTCAGGTAAGACAAGACTTCCCCTTCAAATCCTCTTATAGACACCGGAATTGAAAAGATAACTGGAAAGACCAAGAGAGACAGTGTAGAACCATCATCAGAAAAGCCTCAACTATGGGTCTAATGAATATCCGAGACCTAAATCAGGTGGCAACGAACCGCCAGACATGGAGAGCTATAACCTCTGCACTATGCGCCGCCTTATGCGCAAGAGGAAAGACTAAGTTTATGATTACGCTTTTCGAGATCACGGCACCATCATCAGGTACCTTGCCGACTGGCGTGGGCGATCATACCTCTCCACAGTCTGCGATCTCCTGCAGCATGTATCAGTTTATGTGCCGACACACCTCCATGCCATGCAACAAGACTGTCAAGCATCTTCTCTCGTTGTCTTCATGGCACATCATGGCCCACGGGTGTAAACCATAAGCGCTCCGTTCTACTTCTAACTCAAGCCTGAGTCTGAAGAATCTCAGCGCAGTGCACGAACTCCGATGCACCGGCGAGGATCCTAAAATACTTTGGGTAGATTTTTACATCCGAATTTTGCCCTGGCAGCGCCATAGGGTACTCTTTTCGATTTCCAAAGGCCAAGGGATTTTTTTACTTGCGCAAGAATACACACGGGCGTTCATTCCTACTACCCATAAATCAGGGGGTATTATTAGAGGTCCACGTGAAAAATCTCAGCCTTAACCGGAGCTTGAAACCGGGATCTCCTGCATTCAAAGCCGACACCAAACCTCGAGACTACTTAGTTACCCCCTACCACCC